AAGAAGATCCAGGGCGATTACGTGACCCTTCGAGCCGACTTTGGGTGATGCGACCTGTGACCAACCACCTAGAGTACTTCAATACCGACAGTATATGGTAAGCATGGTAGAATAGAAGTCAGTTGAAGGCGTCCGACTCACCTGGCGCCGCACCGAGATCAATCACCAATCCGGCTTTCGGTAACAAGCAGGGATACTTTTTCGCCATTGAAACTAGCTTGAAGCTTGACCTCGAACGGTATAACGTATCTCCATCTTTCCCGTCACCTCCCGCTCGAGCACGAACGTATGGATCATTGACCTGTCGCTGCAGCCAGCGGCCAGAAGATGTCGACTGTTTGAGCGCGTAAAGCGTTGGACGAGGCATGTGAAAGCTCCTGCGTACAGCGTAACGCAGGCGTTCTGTTGGCGGAGTTTTGGAAGTACACCGTCTATGGACCCAATGTTCAAAGAGATACCTGTCGTCGCCTTCTCTTGGCCTTGAGCTCTACACGCCTGCTTTAACGGTAAAGAGTCTCGTAGAATAGATTTGTAGAACGAGTGCACGAAGCTCGCTCGTCGCTCGCCGATCGCAACATCGCAACTCGTGGCTCACTCGTTGCTGCCGCAAACCGTACGCCACAACTTATCTCACTTGTGTATGTCCCTCGAAGTGGCACTACAAATGGCGGGGCTGGGTGGTAGCTTCAGAGGACATGTCGACATAAACGTGCTTCCGGAGGGTTTCATCTGATTCCAGCAAGGAAAGCGATAGCATACGTTGTATAATGGATTTCTCCAACAAGTAGGCGGGCAGCTGACCACGCAATGACGGAGTCTCCTGAGGTCAAGTAGTCCACCAGGAGCCGTAATAGACAGATCGATTCACGAATTGACGAGTTGAAGCGATAAGCATATACATTGGAAAACTAAGAAAACAACCAACAACTTCTTTATATGATATGCAGTGCACCATCAGAGCCTTTCACGAAACACCACGGGTAACCCATCGTGGAGTAACGCATGTTCGGTATCCCGTACTATTTGTTCTTATTCTTCTTGTTTTTCGATTTCGACGGTGGAGCAGCCGATGCGGCATCCTCCGCTTGCTCTTCCTCCAGCGGCGTCTCGACGTCCTGATCTTGAATAACCGGTTCATCTGCGAACGAGAAATGCGCGTTCGAGATCGATTGAATTCCCTTTAGCAGATCTCATGAATAACTTACCATTTGCAAGCTCCGTGGGATCGCCACCGACCACCAACTCCTTTGCCTTCTCCACCAAGTCCTCAATCACATCCAGGACCTGCGACGGCTGTTCTTCGTCTATTGCAGCTTGCGCATTCTCCGGCGATACTTCGGCGTCTTCCTTGACGTCATACGGCTCGACACCCTCTTGGTCGTTCAGCTGTGTCCGTTTCCCACCATTCTGCTCTCGTGAGAGTGCATCTTGCCAACCTTCTTCAAATAGCTCCTCGTCACCCTTTTCCGGATCCGCCAGAGTCTGGGCGATTTTCTGTTTGCCGGCGGCTCCAAGCGCACTCTTCCACGTCTTGACGGTCGCGGGAACAAATGAAGGGGCGTATGTACGGGCGAAGAGCGCAGCTTCAGGGGCGCGGTCGGTCTTGATCAAAACGTCCATACACGACGCGATGTCGCCGGTCTGGAAGAAGCAGTTGAATGCGATGTTGTTCTGACCTTTTTCAACTATCGACGTTCGTTTATGATCAGGAATGATCCAAGTTTATCAAGTGAGTTCGCATGTAGACTTACCAGCCAGTCTAGCCAACTTCTGCATGCCATCTTTATCACCCAATGAGCTGTAGATAAGCAACAGCGTTGGTAAGTCGTTTGCCTTTTCGAAGCATTCCTGAGCAAGATCCATCCTCCAGGCGGCCAAAGCCTTGTCGCCAACAGTGCGCCATTTGGCCTCAGACCCAGCTTCCGGCGATGCTCGCGTGAGCTCAAGCGCCTTATCGAGGTCGTCTAGTTGTATGGCCAGATCGAACTGTTGATCAGGATCCGTCGCTACCTGGAGAGCCAATTCCTTCATGTCTATAGGGAGAAGAAGTGATCAACGCCCTACTCTGAACTCTCATCACTGTGGTTCTCACCTTGACTTTCCAAGAAACGGGCAATCCTGTTCCGTTCACTCTGCGGAACGGTAGGCAGTATCTCATTGGCGGCATCAAGATCGCCTCGGAGAATGGCGGTTTGATATTCGACAACGATAAGAGACAAGGCAAAGCTGAAGATGTTCATGTCCTTGTCCGCTACGTAGACCCGGTTATGAGCGGGAAGGTAACCCAAGAGGTACATGTTTCTGTAGACAATGAATAAGCATAAAGGATTGCCTTTCTGGCGGCAATTCACTTACTGGTCAAAGTGGTTGATGGTATGAGATTGTTCGCCAACAATGTAATTGAGGCGATTGGCAGAATTGGTGTAGATTAAACAATCGCCAACCCATTTGGTGGTTTTGACGCTGTAAAGGGGAGGAAAAGTCGAGTCAGTTGCAGTAAGACAGCGGCACCAGGAGGTGTTGCCTACTTTTCTGGTAGTTCAGTGACAAGGTCGAAAGCTTCTTCGACACCCTCGTCTCCGATCTCGATACCAGAGTCGAGACGGGCGTTGTAAGCATCACGATCGAATCGAAGCAAGTATAAAGAGTCCGTGCTAGAAATCGCCACAAGGTTGCCGGTGGTTGACCAGGAGACCTAGACGTGTAAAATGGCCATAGATATCGTCAACAAACAGTCTGCAAGCTTGGCCACGAGGACTTACGCCTGTAGCGTCAACTTCGATCCTTCGAACAATCGCTCCGGTTTCCCAATCCCAGAAGATGACGAATCCATTGCCTCGAGCCGCCAACAATGCTCCACCGTAAACGGCATCGAAAATTAGGCCAGAGGCTCCCTTGATCAATCCCGGACGTTCCTTGAAGCTTCGGAACGCTCGGATCTTGGATTTGCCTTCGAGGACGGCGTACGTGTTCGAGTCGGTTGCCCAAGCGAAGGATGTACCGGAACCAAACGCTTTGTTCCGCCAAGCGAGAGCCGTGTAGATAATGTACTCTCCGTCTCCACATACGGTTACGAATCTAGGTTGGGAATACTATGATTAGTCGGAGTACTACTGTCTCCGCAAGCTCTGACTTACCTTCCGTTGGGAGAATGTTGCAAGCTCTGAGGGAATATTTCAGTTGCGCCCAATTCTCGCGCGGGAATAGCCAGACGTTGACCATCCACGATGGAATCGTCGGCAACAGCTTGAACATTGGCAGTCAAGATTTCCGTGTTTTTGGCATAGACCACCTTTCCGGATACGTCCATGGAGACCGAAGGTTCTTCTCGGCCGAGCTGATGCAGGAAAGCTCGTGATCAGCAAGGCTTCAACACAACACGCAATGCGCCACTCACCTTGACAACGACAGCACCCTCATCGTAACCGATAGCGATCTCATTGCCGCTCTTGCGGTATGCTATACACCAACACCTTTCCAACCCATAGCTCAACGTGGTCTCCAAGCGGTAGGTGGACGAATGCCAGATCTTGACGGTACCGTCTTCAGAACCGGAGATGATGATTGGCAACGAAGGATGGAATATTGCAAACGAAACGTTTGCGGAATGACCCTCCAGGGTTTGGACACATGATTTGTTTTGGTAGTCCCAGATCTTGACGGTCCTGTCATCTCCCGTGGTAACAATATACGGCCGGTCTCCACCATGGTAGTATTCGACGTAGTTGACGCCCTTTTCGTGTGCTTCCAAGCTGTAGTTTGCGACAGACGATCCTAGTGACCATACCTTGACCGTGTGATCGAGACAGGCAGAGGCGAACGTTTGCGGATCTTTTGGGTTGAAAGCGAGCGACATGATGTAGTGCGTGTGCCCTTCGAATATCTGAGAGCAAGGCCTTTTTAGTCGTTTGGCGAGATATTCCCTGTTCCTTGGCGACATACCTGAACGCATCGCCATCCCTTGTCCCAGTCCCAGGCCTTGATCGTCATATCGTCACTACCTGTCAATACCAAACTCAAGGTGGGGTGTACGGTCATGCATCGAATGTAGTCGGGATGCGCTTCAAATGAAGTGACACGTTCGCCCGTCGAGATGTTGTACACTCGTAATTGAAAGTCGTCGCTACCAGAGACAAACTGTGGAACAAAGAGGGTCAATCTCATGTCCAAAACTTGCGTTGTGCAAAGCGTACCCAATTCTTTCGTGCGATGTATCGAACACATCGAACAGGCACATCCGTCACCTCAAAGGTCTTCAAGTCGGTTTGTGTTTCATAGTTCCAAATCTTCACTTGACCGTTGCTGTACGAGTACGAGGGTGCGATCAGTTATCGCTTTGATCGATTTTGCATGACCGCACGTACTAGAGACCGCAGATGACGTGCGGTTCAGTCGGGTGAAAGTCGACCGACTTTACACGATCCGAGCGTGCCAAGAGCTTTCTCTATAGGTGGTTTGTCGATACATTGTCAGCTTCATTCACCTGTGGAACTTGATGCATACGCACGGTGATGTCTAGAAGCATAGGCTAGAGAAAGTGTGCGAATGATACGTCAGTACACGCTCGCTCGGTTTCCACTCGGTCAGTCGGGCTCACCATTTTCGTTGGAATATCTGGAAGATAGCAAACGAGTCTGCCTTTTGACGTCTGCTTCTCTGGAAGAGATAGGGAAATATGGTGATGAATGAAGTTGAAATGCGTGTTGTCGTGTCAATGGCCCTCCTGGAAGGCAGTTGGAGTAGCTTCCGCGTGGGCGCGGTAACCAAGCCAACTCTGGGCATCCGGCGCGATCTTACTCGGTCGCTTGCCGCACCGACGACCTCGAAAATATCGTCCTCCTCCAACCTTTCAAATACCTTACGGAAAACGTTTTATACAGGGCAAAAGTAGATATTTCTCCTCGTGGATTTCACGGGGACGTACTCCAGACCAAGGGCTTTGAATGGTAATCAGACGAAACGACGGAGGATGCAGAACGGCAGAAAACGCAAAAAGATCATCCTCTCAGCCCGGATCGAACGGGCGACCTAAGCAGTCCTGAAAGTGAACAAGTCAAGTGATTACAATGCTTCGCTCTTCCAACTGAGCTATGAGAGGCGGTTGTTGAAAGCGGAAGACTGCAGTCCTCATGATTGTAATGACAACAGAGCCATTATTCTGCATGCACTAGCAAACTCGTCTTCCACACGAGAGCTGACTGAGCTGACACGCGCAATCGACACACAAAATCAACAAACGATTCGTGGATAATGGAATATGCCTCAACGCTAAAGAGTCTTCCTTCGGATGATTCGGATAATACGGTAACACTGGATATCCAGCTCATCCGAGGTATGCAGTTGTGGCTGTAGTCAGTCTTCCCAGCTCATCTGAAAAATCCTCTGGCATGGGACAAGAAACCGAATAGAAATGACGACATCCTCTGACCCATTCCGTCCGACCAGCCGTCTCCCTCTGCCCACCTCACCTCGGGTGTCGAGGATACCACAGCCGACGTCTAGAGCAATCAAAAGACCGACGGCGTCGGCTACAGTGACCGCGTCTAGCACAATCCCACGTCAATTCAAGGAAAGAACCACCAACTTCGTTCCGGCCATCGCCAGTTCTGCTCCAACAAGGACCACGACGTCCTCCCCAGCGTCGACGACAAAGAAGCCGTCCATAGCAGCGCCACGTGCACCACTCTCTGACTTGGCTCCCAGACCCAAAGTCACGACCCGAACGACTACTCCCGTCTCGGCGACACCACTGCGGCTGCGAAATGCTGAGCCGACGAGTCGCACGCAAAGTCCCGTTAGACCAGCCTCGCTCCGAGCAAACCCTTCAGCAAGCTCGTTACGCTCTTCGGAAACACCTTTATCTCATGACAGTGTACCCAAGTCACCAAGCCGAGTTTCGATCCGAGAACAAATAGCAGCAAAGAGGAAAGCGTTACTGGCAGCGTCTGGATCGTCAGAAGAGCGCGGAATTCGAGAAGGCGTTTCGAAGCAGGGAAAGCAGTGGTCGGTCAATGATCTGGATACCACAATGTCGAAACTTATAACGGAGGATCGACGCGAACCTGAACAACCGGAAGTCTCAGGCGACATCTTTGGACGCACAATCCCGGCGCTGATTCGAAAGGCGTTGACGACTGGTCGACTGGACGTTGCCAACATGTCTCTGGAAAGGCTGCCGAAGGAGGTGTGGACCAAGATCCTGAACTTGTCGAGCGACGATCTACCATATTACGACTCACAACCCGCGCCGCTTGCGATTCGTCGTCCAGAGGAACTTACAGCGGATTTAGACGAATTGAATCTCCCACCTCACGAGCTCGAACGTCGGCGATTGCTGGAAGAAGACGAAATCATGAACGTACCGTTCTACGAAGTGCAGGACCTGGTCGTGATCAAGGCGTCCGGCAATTCGCTGATTTTGGTTGAAGCTCAAATTGGGATGATTGGAGCGCTTAAGAATCTGGATGTGAGTTATTAGAACCAGACATGTCGACTCTTCGCTCACGATTATCTACAGCTTCATTCGAATAGACTGCGAGAACTGCCTGATAGCCTCATCAATTTGAGAGAGCTTACGCAGCTGGACATGTCGTGAGTACAAGGAGAAACGATAATGATCCTGTTCTGATGTCGGTCTCCTTCAGGGACAATTTGATCTCTGCTTTCCCGACCTGTTTGATCCTCTCACCCTCACTTCAAACAGTCGACCTCTCTCGGAACAGCATCTCTTCGATATCCTGGGACAATCCAGTCAAACCGAACAGAGAAGTGTTGCAGTCTCGCAAGGATGTTTCCTTTTTCGATTCCTTTCCCAGCACGCCAACGAAATCCAATTACCGGGACGAAGACACAGACGAACTTATGCCGTCACTGCGAAACGTCTCCTTCTTCAACAACGTGTTAACGAATGTTGGTCTACCACAGACGTGGCCTCGTAACGTTGAGTCAATAGACTTGTCTGAAAACAGGCTGCAGGGAATTCTGGATGTGACCGCATTGGCGTTACTGCCTCGACTAAAACGATTGAATCTTCGTGGCAACGGCCTGACGGGTGTTCGGCTGCAAGCTGCAGAGGATGCCGTATTATGGCCGTCCTTGGAAACGATCGATCTCGAAGCGAACGATATTCGTGCTGAAGAGACTCTCGTCGACGCGCTGGAACTTGATCGACCATATACCACTTCGGGACCGGAGAGTCGCGGAACTGTTCACATTGTAAGTGGTCTCTCAGATAAGATGGAGCTCAGCCCTGATTAACTTGTCCACAGATCCTGAAGGAGAATCCCATCCGTTACGCAACGACCAAAAAGTTGCATCCAGGCATGATCGCTCTGTCCTCCCCTGCCTTACACCGGGAAAGACTTCCCTCGGACAGCAAGTCTGCGGACCCTTTGGAACCATCATGTGATAGCTACACTGGACAATCCACGGGCCCCTTGAAAGACTGCTGGGACGAGCGACAACAGAGCATACTTATCACCCGGAGTACACCGACAGCGTTTTTGGACGAGCAAGGTTGCTTTGATCTACATCATATTCTGGATGCTGTACCAGCAACCACCTCCTTCAAGACTATTGAATTGTCCGGAACCTTAACACTGAGAACCTTGGCAATACCAGACTGTAGTCCTCGTTTCTCGAGTGTCACTACGTTGCAAATTACGGATACGTCGTTCAAAAGCGACAATGAAACGCTTGAACGGATATCGAAAGTCATGCCTCAATTGGAAACACTCAACCTGAGTGGCTCTAGGATCGAGCACCTGAATGGGGCGAGATTCTTGATTGAAAACGGACTGAAACGACTACTAGCGAAAGGATGTCGCATCACAGACATCTCCTCGTTGATGGATGTTGCTGCAGAACTACATCAAGGCACATGGAAAGGCAATCTCAAGCTAGAAGAAGTGGATATCCGGGATAATTCAGTGGAAAAGGTACACCTTAAGTCTTATGATGACCCAGTAGGCTGCTGACACCCGATGATTTCATAGCTTGAGCCTATATTGGGGTCGTTGCCACTCCGGCATTTTTTGGTGGAGAACAATGCATTCCGGGTACCGCCAAGAAGGATTTGGGAAAAGGAAGGTGAGTTATCATCCCAACGTATTCGCTGTCGTCCTCCAGTATACGTGTTGTTAATACCCTCCACTGCGACGACAGGCACAATTGGGTTGTTACGCTGGCTAAGGGATGGGATGTAGCCACTGGATCGGGCGTATCTATGACTCTCAACAAGAGGCAGCTTGATCATGACAGGCGTTCGATGCAATCAATTCAGAGTATAGCACGATATACCCAATATCCAGATTGCAACACGAGCTATTCAGGTATCGCTAAGTATAATGGCAATCATTATACCGAGAACCGCCCGTATGATTGAGTCTCTCCACCTTGACATAGCAGTGCAGACATTCTGAGGGTAGCTTTCGCTGAACTGCGTAGCACCTGCAAGACAGACGAGCAGCGATGATGTAGTACTTCCAAAGCTTACGAGCAGAGCGGCCCCCATCCATACCTCACCTGCTACGGGTTCGAGAGGGCGATTATGTCCTAGTCACCATGAAGGAAAGCCAAGCCCAACTGGCCCGATCGTGTCTTCTGCTCTGCATGTAAGCAACCATGTGAGAAAGCTGATCATCCAGACTGTCTGTATCAACCGAGTTGAATTGTATGGGTCCACGTCACCTTCACGCTTCCCAGACTAGTACTCTTCCCAGTCTTCCCAGTCCCCAGTTCACGCAGTTCGCCCCGCTTTTCATTGCTTTTTCGCGCGAAAAAATGCTCACCAGCCCCAGCTCCAGCCCCGCGCCCCGGGACCGTATCTGGACTTCTGGAGGCTACGGCGGTCGGCAGTAAACAAACGCCTGTAAAGCCTGCAAGCCTGCGGAGGAATCTGGGCTTGTTGAATGCCCAATGTCCGTTCCGCGTGCAAGCGGCGTGGCCTTTCCAGCGTTCCAGCGTCATTCGGCAATAGTCGTTTTTGGTAAGCTCAATTTGGCCAGCCTTTTACGTCCTTTTGGCTGGCTGTTGGGTTGGCCCTTTTTCCTTCCTGTTGGGAGAATACCAAAGAGCGGCACAGCTTGAAGAAAGCAGGAGCAACTGTCCTCATGAGATAGACGACTGGTTTTCAGTGGATATCAATTTGGCGGCCTCGATATACAGCAGTACTGCATTGACCTGGAGCAGTAAATACATCGACACGGGCACACAGCTATCAACGCCTACTGGACAGCAAGGTTCGCGCCACGCTCGGTTCGACCAGAGAATCAAAAAAATCACGCATTCATTCTCGAACCTACGCGATCTTGTCTGCGTCTATCTGCAGACGGGAGAGAAGTTTCATTCGGTCGGAAGTCCAAGTCAGTTGTGACTGGATTCACAACTACACGACGCCTTTCGATCACCAGTTACAGACAAAGGACTCGAGGACGACTACTGCAATAGCTGATCAAATATCGGCGGTTACCCACTTGATCAACACCTTCCCTATCGCTTTTCCGACGGGAGCACTCCTCGCCACCACGTCTTTTATACCCATCTATACGAGATGAGTCTGTCAGACCCTGATTCTCTGAAGACTGCCGTGTCGTCCACCATTCCACCGTACACTGGGTCTTCCTCCGGCGCAGGCCAAACATTGGTAGCACAACAATCACCGGATCTCTTGGGTAAACCGCTTCGACCTTCACCTTCACCGCTTACCGCCAACGAGCGATCAATTTCAGCAGTGACGCCAAATGCCTCGAATAGCGCTCACGAGACGGAAAAAAGGTTTGATCCCGAGGGGATGATCCTGGGAGAAAAAGGCAACGGAAAACCTGGGCGCAAAGACGATGATCGAGCAAGCAAACGAAGCAAGAGCAGCCTGCGAAAATCCCGCAAAGTCAAGAAGTCGGTAGCAAGATTCGAAAAGAATCGGGAAAACGCCATCGACTGGTCCCCATCAGGGATATGGGGAGTCTTCAAGGCAAAACTCAAGAACCCTTCACATCCGTCTACGACTTCACAATCGGCTTTAGGCGAAACGGAAGGCGCATCAGGCAGCACACTCGGCAGTTATTTCCGTCCTCAGGCAAAGTCGGCCAACTCATCCGC